TCTCCACTAACAAATCTACAAAGTCTCCCTAGACATACACACGATTCCCCCTGTTACAGAGAAGTTACAAGGGCCTGTTCCTCAACCCCTCCCGCGAGCTTCTGCATCCCATCGCCTCTCTCTTCCTCAAGGAATTCATCGCTTCATGATCCTATTCTCTTTCCTCATAATCAACCTCTCCCGCTGAACTCAATCAATTAATAATCAAATGTGTTCTAATATTGCTTATTTAAAAACCAAATCCATAGCTCTTTCATCCTGCTTCTCAATTCTGAGTTACTGAAATTGGCTGCTCAATCCTTACTGAAAACACTAGATAACGAAAACTTGCAAAATTAGATACCCAAAATGTATCCGTGGATCAGGCTGCAGCTCAGACTGCACTGATTTGGGCCCGATAGAACTATATTTACTAAATAGAGTTTTATCATTATTTTCTAAAGTTCTGTGAACTTTGTTACAAATAATTACATAAGCATCCTCTTTATAATTATCAAATATAAACTATAGAGATATTATAGAAGGAATTGTCTTTTTGAATATTCGTAAGGGAACCTTCATCTTTGACTCAGCATCAGTAAAGGGTGTGCATCTCCTCAACAAAAGATTGAACATTCTGAAAATGGAAACTAAATGATTTCATGTTATTTTAGATGGCTAGCACCTTTTTCATCATACAGTATGCATTTCTGAGTATTAATCTTATTTCTACCTTTATTAGTTTCCTATCCTGATTTTCTCTTTCTGGTTCTTGAAATACTTACATTTTCTTTTCATATTTTAGATATTTTTAAACTCTTCTAAATTATTTAAGAAGCAAGTAGAACAAGACAATGTACAAATAGAGAATAAAGATAAAAACAGATATAGAGATAGGCAAGACCAAGAAAGGTATAGAAGCAGAAAGGGGCAGGAGAGACTGGGGAGGGAGGTAGCAGTGTTTGATGTATACAGTAATGAGTCACTGTGTGGATCTGGATCTTAGGAAAGCAGCATAAGAATATATACATATGTAGGTAACAGCATATTTCTTCTGAAATCTCATTACACTGAATCACTCGAAATTACAGACATCCATGTAGAAATATTTTGCAACATTAGTTATAAAAGCATTTATCTTACAAAATTAGAACTGCCTGCCCTGTTATTTTCAATTTAGGACTGTGATAAAAGTTTTCGGAAATGTTGCTGGCATATTTTTCCCAAATTGAAGCATGACTTTCCTTTTTTTTTTTTTTTTTAACAGGGTCTCACTCTGTCGCACAGGCTGGAGTGCAGTACATGCAATCTCAGCTCACTGTAGCCTCAACCTCCTGGGTTCAAGTGATCCTCCCACCTCACCTTCAGAGTAACTGGACTACAGACATGTGCCATCATACACAGCTAATTTTTTTTTTTTAAGTAGAGACTTGGCCTCACTATGTTGGCCAGACTGGTCTCAATCTCCTAGGCTCAAGTTATCCTCCCACCGTGGCCTCCCAAAGTGTTGGGATTACAGGTGCAAGCCACTGCCCGCAGCTACTATTCTGCTTTCTAAAAATGAAATCCTACTCAGATCCCCAGGGAATGTGGTTTGGTATCTGAGACAATGAGCTATACTTGACTTTTCTCTTGTCTGCTTTGACTGGTCTATACTGAATCAGAAAAATGAACTAAAATTGCCATACAGCACACATGAAGCCTTGGTTGATTTCCAAACAAGTTTTAAAGAGATGAATATGTGGAACCCACAGCAAATACTATACAAGAGCTCAGGACAATTCTACTTGGCTTATGAATCATTTGGCTGTTTACTATGGAAGAAATACTAGGTTCTTTCCAGTTGTAAGATTTTTTGTAAATCAGATTGCTGGACTATAAATTAATACTAGGTATCTTTCAAAAAATGAAAAATGTCAAACACAGGTTGGATACAAATTACTTCATTCCTTTCCTAGGAATGAATACTCTGATAAAGCAATAGGAGCGCTAACATCTGCCTCAACCCCAGAAAAGCACACTCTCATTATATCTATCGCTCTCCATCATCAAAGGCATCTCCTAGGCAGGATTCTGTGTGTCACTGAAGCCAAAAACCATCAAGAGTCATCATGACTATTATTCAGGTATCAATTTATACAGTGCATTTGGCTCCTGGTTTAAAAGGTCCTGTCCTATTCCATTATTTGGAACCTAACACTATGGTTAAGTCAGAGAATTGCCATGCATTCAGATAAAGAGAATAAATCAGCTATATACTTCATTTTGGTAAAATTTAGATAGCAGTAAGGTAATCATGGGCAGTATCAGTGTTCTACTTGCTACTTTTATTAAAAGTTATAAATAAAATACATTAGGATGTAAATATCTTCATTTGTACAATCAAATTTTTGCCTTTTTAAATCGTCTCCATTGCAGGTTCATTACACAGCACCATCAACTGCAGTCAAACAAATGGGCACGATTTCCCAAAGAAATAATAGCACAGCATTTTTAGTTTAACTAAGGAGAATGGTTAAACTGAGAGAAATGCACCAAATGGGTCCACCGTCCAAATGGACAGTAAATGCACCAAATGGGTCCACCATCCAAATGGACAGTAAATGCATCAAATGGGTCCACCATCCAAATGGACAGTAAATGCACCAAATGGGTCCACCATCCAAATGGACAGTAAATGCACCAAATGGGTCCACCGTCCAAATGGACAGTAAATGCACCAAATGGGTCCACCGTCCAAATGGACAGTAAATGCACCAAATGGGTCCACCGTCCAAATGGACAGTAAATGCACCAAATGGGTCCACCATCCAAAGGGACAGTAAATGCACCAAATGGGTCCACCGTCCAAATGGACAGTAAATGCACCAAATGGGTCCACCATCCAAAGGGACAGTAAATGCACCAAATGGGTCCACCATCCAAATGGACAGTAAATGAGTTTGTGTCGTTTGTAGGGACATGGATGAATCTGGAAAACATCATCCTCAGCAAACTGACACAAGAACAGAAAATGAAACACCACATATTCTCACTCATAGGTGGGTGATGAAAAATGAGAACACATGGACACAGAAAGGGGAGTACTAAACACTGGGGTCTATTGGGGGGAAAAGGGGAGGGCCAGTGGGAGGGGGAGGTGGGGAGGGATAGCCTGGGGAGAAATGCCAAATGTGGGTAAAGGGGAGAAGAAAAGCAAAGCACACTGCCATGTGTGTACCTACGCAACTGTCTTGCATGCTCTGCTCATGTACCCCAAAACCTAAAATCCAATAAAAAATTAAAAAAAAAAAATGCACCAAATGGGTCTACCATCCAAATGGACAGTAAATGCACCAAATGGGTCCACCATCCAAATGGACAGTAAATGCACCAAATGGGTCCACCATCCAAATGGACAGTAAATGCACCAAATGGGTCCACCATCCAAATGGACAGTAAATGCACCAAATGGGTCTACCATCCAAATGGACAGTAAAGCCAATCAGAGCAAAATGGTGCTATGTACTTACAGTCAGCAATACTGCACTACACATTTGACATTTTGTTAAGTAAGTAGACTTCAGGTTAAGTCTTCTTATTAAAATAAAATGATTTGTCGTTTTCTTTTAAATGGTGCCAATGTAAAGAATACTGCAATCGTGACCAATCAAAAAAAATGAAAATAAAGAATCTTCTCTTTCTTCTCAGAGTTGTTTTGTATTTCTGTGACCTACTATCGTCTTCAGTAGTATTCAAGTCTATTTTACCAGTCACCAACTGACATATTCCAGAAACTATTATTTTCGCCATAAAAACATTGTTAGAGTTTCTAAACGGAATGTCTGTTCCTCCTGTTAATACCTTTCTTTTTCTGAAACAGATGGTCTTAGTATGATAAAAGTAATAACCGACTACAACTGCAAGTGCATGGGTAGAAAGTGCAAGCTCACAGGAAAACTACGGCTTAAAACTGTGACACCCTGAGCCAGATGATGTGTGTGTGTGTGTGTGTGTGTGTGTGTACGTCTTCCCCTCAATACAAATTTGTTCAGCACTTCCTTTCTCAATATCTTCCTTTATTTCCATGCAGATGTGCATAACTCAGTAAGTTCAGTAGCTTCAGTATACCGTAACGTCAAGAACCAGTTCTACATTGACTAGTTTCAACAATTATTCTCACATACATAAAACAACCAAATCAATAAAGCAGATTTAAATTCAAACCTGACTATATAGTTACTACCTTTCTGCCTATTGAAATTACAAAAGTTATCTACTTTCACTGTCATCTTTGCCAATGTCTAAAAGGAATAAATAAGAATATATGCAAAAAAAATTCCAGATTTTAGGAGTTTCCAAACCTAGTTCACTATATACCTATCTCAAAAATATTTTCCTTTTTTTTTTTTTTTTGAGACGGAGTTTCGCTCTTGTTACCCAGGCTGGAGTTTCGCTCTTGTTACCCAGGCGCGATCTCGGCTCACTGCAACCTCCGCCTCCCGGGTTCAGGCAATTCTCCTGCCTCAACCTCCTGAGTAGCTGGGATTATAGGCACGTGCCACCATGCCCAGCTAATTTTTTGTATTTTTAGTAGAGACGGGGTTTCACCATGTTGACCAGGATGGTCTCGATCTCTTGACCTCGTGATCCACCCGCCTCGGCCTCCCAAAGTGCTGGGATTACAGGCTTGAGCCACCACGCCAGGCCTAAAAATATTTTTCATTTCTTTAAATTCCTCTCGCAGACTCTCCTTAGTTCCAAGACCAAAATTACATACACTCAGATAAAGTGAATATATCAGTTGCCTGTCTGATTTTTGGTGAAATTTAGATCACGGTAAGGTAATCATGGCAACATCAGTGTTCTCTAATAAAACACAATCCTAACTTCACAGCTTTTACATCCTATATACTTAACATGGCTTTTATTTACTGAAATCTACCTGAATATAGTGCTTTGCAGGAATCACTGATGTGAGGATGCTCTGTGACGTGGGAGAAAAAAAGTTTACAAAGCAGTGAGAACATGGTTTTACTTACGAGAAGTTTTGGAAGCAAGAAGAGTAACTTGGGAACCTCCTAAGAAGTGGAAACCCATTACATTCACCTGATCGTCATCTGACTGACTGGCAAAGCCTGTAGAGAAAGAGAGAAATCACTTTACCTAAGCAGAAGGCAGAATTAACACATTTGAAATGGAAATCTTAGTTGATGAGGGGTGTTGTTTATGTCACTAGTCATGTATAAACTCCATGTGTGAAATATAATATATTAACTTTGATTTCCATAGTAGCTTCCAATTAACGAAACTTCTGCCTTACAATAAAACTCAGGAACCATTTAATTTCATTTCTTATAATGGTTGATTCCAAATATGAGGCAGAATATGCACAAGATGAACCTAGAATATCTTTTCACACCAGATAGCAAGGAAGCTATCAGCGAACCAGTAGGGTTTTATAAAAAGGACTTCAAAGACAGCTTAAAGAGACTACTACCGGCCAGAGATAAAAATATTTGGGTATAAAAGAAAATAATAATGGCAATGGAGTAAAACACATCAAATATGTTTAAAGGCAGGAGTTCATACAGAGACTTAAAAACAAAGTAACAACAAATAGTCACTATTGAAGAATATTAGAGATTTGACATTATTCATTTTAAACTCTATTTATTTAAAATATTTTTTAAAATAGTAATAAAGGGAAAGAACCCAGCATTTATCCTGAAGACCGTACTCATACTGTACCATGTAACCACTATTAGTTAAAGGAAAGGTTGTCTGTATAGAAATATTCCAGCTAAAAAATGAAGAAAGTATGAAAGCAATCCAATATCTATTTTTCAGCCTATAGTGAACTAATGGATCTCAGCATTGAATACCAACAGCTGTTACCATCACACACAAAAAAAGACAAATATTATGTACCCTCTGCTGAACGTCTATACTACCACGCATGAAGAACTCTGGTCAAAATAATTGACCTTGACTCTGCTAGCTCCAGACCCAATTTACCAATTTACAAACAACTTGACAGACAAAAGAAATATTAAACATCATCGTAGTGGTAAAAGACGTCACCAAGATGGTAAAGTAGGGGACACCAGTCTTTATCCCTGGCAAAAAATAGAGTGAGAGAAAGACAGCTATTTAAAAACCAGAATAGCCCTGTGAGAGCTCAAGGGCCCATTAAGCTCCAGCAATGCAGAGCAAATGTTGCTGGTTGTATCAGCATACCTAAGATGCCTACAAATGGCTGGTGACAAAGAATAGAGGCAACGGGGGGTTGGTGACAGCCATGGAGTGGGAACTTGCATGGTTCCCAGCTCCAGAGAAAACACCAGCATCTTTTGCCACTGAGGTAACCAACAGCCATTTTTACCAGGGAACCCGAGAGAGGAAGGCAGGGCCCTACATTCCCTTGCTCAAGAAGTAGTTGCTGTTGTACCACCCCAGGACCAAAACTACCACCTCTCCAGACCTTGCACATTCCCCTAACCCCCAGGCCAGTCACTTCAGGAATGTGCATACTTCAGACACTGGCTCTGTGGCTGCACTAGGCCCAACCACGTCTCACATACCAGAGCTCCCACCATAGTGAGCCAGCTCACACCCGAGGTCCTAGAGCTAAGGTCTCTCTGCGTGTTCCTGTGGTTCAGTCATTACATCATCTGCCATAGACGACAAGGCCCCATCCTGTACCCTAGAGTCAGAGTAACAAAATCCATGCTCCCATCTTGGGCGCCCCAGCTGTTTCATAAACACTAATGCCTCACATATCATCACCAACAGAGCAATGGGGGTTCCTCTTCTCTGGGTACTGGTGCCTTTACTACCCAAAGCCCAGAGCCAAAGTCCCTTTACACATGCCCATGCTGCAGGACTTGACTCCATGGCATTTCCATAGGTGCCACTCATCATGCACTGGAAACTGGCCCACATGCCAGTCAAGAGTGCCAAGGGGGATCCCCTTGGCCATGATTTCCCTGGTGGAAGAGAAAAAGATTGGAAGTAAAGATCCAAACAGCCCTCACTATCGCTGAGAACACTCACAGAGTTGGAAACTGAGGATACCCGCAATCTTTACCAACACCAACCCTAGCTAATAGAGGTGCACACAGTCTACATTGTTATGCCCTTGCCAGGGCCAGGGCCTCTACACCTCATATTGCCAGCAGCCTTGACCCTCCCAAAGAAAGTCTTTCCATACTAAAATCAGCACACGAAGTTGGAAAGAGGAGGCTGATCCACCAAATGTGCAGGCATCAAAGTATGGCAACAAGAAACATGAAAAACAAAGAAGACACATCGCTACCAAAAGAACACAATAATTTCCCAGTGGCTGACCCCAAAGAAATGGACATCTACAGGTTAACAAAGAATTCAAAAGTATTGTTTTCAGAAAGCTTGGTAAACCAGAAAAAAGAAAAGAGAAACAGTTCAAAAAACTTAGGAGAATAACAAATTTTGGAGCTGAAAAAAATACAATGAATGAAATGAAAACAGCTGAGCACTGTGGCTCACACCAGTAATCCTAGCACTTTGGGAGGCCGAGACATGCAGATCACTTGAGCCCGGGAGTTCAAGCAGCAAAGTAAAATCTTGTCTCTACAAAAAATAAGAAAATTAGCCAAGTGTGGTGGTATGCACCTGTAGTTCCAGCTACTTGGGAGGCTGAGGTCAGAGGATTGCTTGAGCCCAGGATGTCAAGGCTACACTTAGCCATGATAATACCACTGTACTCCAGTCTGGATGACAGAGCAAGATGGACAGAAGGGAGAGAGGGAGGGAGAAGAGGGAGGGAAGGCAGGAAGGCAGGAAGGCAGGAAGGCAGGAAGGCAGGAAGGCAGGAAGGCAGGAAGGCAGGAAGGCAGGAAGGCAGGAAGGCAGGAAGGAAGGAAGGAAGGAAGGAAGGAAGGAAGGAAGGAAGGAGGGAAGGAAGGAAGGAAGGAAGGACATCAAAAGTAGAACTGATCAAGCAGAAGAAAGAATCTGTGAACTCAAAGTTAGATTATTAGAGAATACGGAGGTGGGGTGGTGGAATGAAAGGAAAGAAGAAAGCCTGCAAGATTTATGGAACAGCTTCAAGAGAAACAATAAGAGCAAACCTTCCAAATCTGGAGAAAAGTAGAAATATCCAGATATAAAAAACTCATAACAATCAAAACATAAAATGTTAATGGAGTAAAAATTAGTCACATAACTATGGAGAAAACTAAATTACAGATCAATTTCTCTCATGAACTTAGAAATAAAAATTCTAAAATACAGTTTGGCAAATTAAATCTAAAGATATAGTGAAAAGATAATGCTTCATGACCATCTATAATTTACCTCAAGAATGTATGGCTGGTCTGACATTAAAAATTAATTAATGTAATCTACCATATTTAACCAAATAAAGAAGAAAATGATAAGAATGTCCCAGTTGATGTAGAAGCAGTCTTGAAAAAAAAATGCAATATCCACTCGTTTTTAAAATCTCAGCAACCTAGGAATAGAAGGCAACTTCCTCACCCTGTTAAAAAACATCTAAAAACTGCTTATAGCTAAAACATACTTAACAGTGAAAGACAATGTCTGTTCTTACCATTTATATTCAACATTGTCCCAGAAGTTCTAGCCAAGGCAAAAAGCAAGCAAAAACAAACAATCCAGATTGGAAAGGAAGAAGTAAAACTGTTTTCATCTGCACATAACATGATCATCTATATAGAAAACCCTGACTGGTTAAATCTACAAAAAAGTTAATAAAGCCCCAAAGTGATTTAACAATATTGCATGATAAAAGATTGATATAAGAAAACGAACCATAGCTAAGCATGGCGGCTCACACCTGTATTCCCAGCACTTTGGGAGGTCAAGGAGAGTGGATCACCTGAGGTCAGGAGTTCGAGACTAGCCTAACCAATATGGTGAAATTGTCTCTACTAAAAATACAAAAATTAGCCAGGCATGGTAGCATGTGCTTGTAGTCCCAGCTACACGGGAGGCTGAAACAGGAGAATTGCTTGAACCCAGGAGGCAGAGGTTGCAGAGAGCCAGGAACACATGACTGCACTCCAGCTTGGACGACAGACTGAGACCTCATCTCAAAAGAAAGGAAAACTAATTGTATTTCTGTGTATTAGCAAAGAACAATTTGAAATGGAAATAAAATACAATAGCATAAAAATAAATGAAATAGGGATATCCTGACAAAAGATGTGTAAAACCTGTACATGAAAAACTACAAACCCTCACAGAGAGAAACAAAATAGGCCGTAAATAAATGAATGACAGTATGCACTTTCATCTTATGAAACTAGACTAAAGAGAGAAATTTATACCATGTTCAATATTGCTAAGATACCAATTCTCTCCAAATTGATTTATGGAATTGATATAAGCCCAATCCCAATCAAAATCCTAACAGCCAGTTTAATTTACAAGGTGATTCTAAGATTCATATGAAAATGCAAAGGACCTAAATCTCCAAAACAACTTTGAGAAGAATAAAGTTGGAGAAATTACACTACTTGACTTCAAGACTTGTTATAAATTTACAGTGATCGAAACACAATGTTATTGGTGTATAGCAAGAGACAAAGAGATCAATGGAACAAAATTAAGAAAACAGAAATACACCCACATAAATGTGGTCAGATGATTTTCAACAAAGTTGAAAGGGAAATTCAGCGGAAAAGGACAGTCTTTGAAATAGTGCTGTAACAATTAGACACCCAGATGCACAACATGAATGTCACCTATACCTCACACCACACGTACATATCAGTACAAAATGAAGAAGACACTTAAATGTAAAGTTTAAAACTAAAAAACTTCTACCAAAAAAAGAGAGAGAAACTTTGTGACCTTGGATTAGGAAAGATTTCTTAGACATATCAGTAAAATTATGATTCATTAAGAAATTGATAAATGCATTTATCAAGATTAAGAACTGCTTTTCCAAAGATTCTGTTAAGAAAATGAAAATACATGCCTCAGACTGGGAGAAATTATTTGCAAATCACATATCAAATAAAGGAGTGAAAGAAGACAAATGAAAAAAAACACATACTATAATAGTTCCATTTTATAAAATTCTAGAGAATGCAAGTTAATGTCTATAACAGAAACCAGATCAGCAGTTGCTTGGGATGCAGGCTAAGGGATTACTAGTAGGCAAGAGGAAAGTTTGGCAGTGATGGATATATTCAGCATCTCAACTGTTGAGATGGTTGCACAGATAAAAACAGAAATCAAAACTTTTCAAAATTATATACTTCAATGTGTAATTTACTGTACAAAAGTTACACTTCAAATAGGCTTTTTAAAAGGCACAAAAATGTGCATTGAAGGTGTGTCTGCAAATAAAAGAAGCATTAAAATGTACCAGAAAAAATAAGTAAATATTTTATAATCTTAGAATAGAGATCATTCCTAGCATAACATGAAAACCTGAAACTATGAGGAAAGTAATTAAGAAATTTTACTACCTAGATGTGGGATATTCCTCTCCCAAATCAACTCACCATGAAATTAGAGAAAGGCGCTAAAGATAATTTAGGCCCCATTTTTTGGATGATTAATTTGATAAACATAATTATATTTATCATGCTATTTCCCTCAATTCTTTTAAAATTTTCTTCCTTCCATATGCAAAACTGCCATCCAAATTGAGGCAAATACTTCTACAACATCCACATCTGAAATCATGTTCTTTAGTAAATTCTTACAAACGTTTGTATTTCCCTTTTGGTTACAGCTTATGTATCAAATCAAGTAAAATATCACATTCCTCAAAGCCAATACTTAACAATTAAACTCACAAAGTTTTTAATTTTGCTACCTCCAGGTTCCTGTGATCACTACAAACCTGGAGCCATTTAAAAGCAAAACTACTCATTTTGAGATGCTTCAGATTATCTGTGCAATGTCAATTCTAGCCTCAAACCCACAGAACCAAATACTCAGCTTGTGGCTGTGATCCAGAGTAAACCACCGAACACACACACACACACACACACACACAAAACCTAAACATATAAACCTTAAAAGAAAGAATGAAAAGAAGAAATGCAAGTCGTTAAGAAAATTGTACCTATGCTAACAAGTAATTTAGAAAAGCAGGTTAAAAATGAAATGTAATTTTTTAGCTAATAATGTCAAAAATTTTTAAAGACTTAATGAATCCAGCTGCTCTCATGGGCATGAACCTTGATGCTGGGAGTATAACCTGATATAGTTTTTCTGGAAGGCAGCTGGTATTTGAATAAAGATTTCAAATATTCATATCCATTAACTCAAGCATTTGTCTCCAAAGAATTTCTCCTAAGAGAAACAGAGAAGTACAAAAATAAAACTGTCTGTACATGACACCTTCAAATAATGGAATATTATGTATGTAACCAGAAAAATATGAATATATGACAAGCCAATGTAGGAATATACTTGAGCAACATAAAAGACTATTATCAAATGACACTTTATCTGTTAATTACATTTAAGCAAAGTTTTTATCTAAAACTACTGATATGACATACATTGATGGTCAGGTAATTTAACCTATGTTCCTAGCCCCCTTTTCTCCAGCCCGTTTAGTTCTCAGCCTCTTTTACTGCTAGAGGAAGCCACACGACAGCATTATGGCTACTGAGTTTCCCAGGGAATCTTTGGAAAACACGCTTTTCTGATAAAAGTGAACACCATTACTATACAGCCATTTCTTCCCCTCCTTCTACCTTGCAACCAGATACGATGCCTGAAGCTGAAGCACATACCGTATTGCCATGGAACTAGTCAACGCACTAAAGACGGCAGATTACAAAGAAAGAAAAAATGCTGGGTCTTTGGTAACAGCCATGAACACTGCCACAGCTTCCGCTGCCCACTTACGGGTTCCTCTTTATGCGCGATAAAGAAATACCTTGGCCAGGTGCGGTAATCCCAACACTTTAGGAGGCCAAGATGGGAAGACCACTTGAGCCTAGGAGTTCAAAACCAGCTTGGGCAACATAGTTTGACCCTGTCTCTACAAAATAATGTTTTTTAATTAGCTAGGCATGATGGTACATGCCTGCAGTCTCAGCTACTGTGGAGGGTAAGTGAAAGGATTACCTGAGCCCAGGAGGTAGAGGCTGCGGTAAGCCATGATTGTGCCACTGCACTCCAACCTAAATGACAGAATGAGACTGTCTCAAAAAAAAAAAAGTTTTCATTGCTTAATTCACTTTTCTGGGGTGCCAGAAGCACCCCAGATAGCTATTTATATATGTAAATAAATGTTTTCTATATAACTATTAAGCATATTAAAAGGTTTTTATAATTATAATATTCTCTGTTGGCAAGGATTTGGGTATTAGACACCTTTATTCAAACATCCTTGTTAGGGTTAACTGGTATTCCTTAAGGAAGTCAATTTCACACTATATTTCAGAAGCTTTAAAAACATTCTGATTCCTTCTTTGACCCAGCAATTTCACTTTTAAATATTCATCAAATAAACTGTAATAAATTTAAAGAAGTATTGTTACAACAATGTTCATCACAGGTGAATTTATAGTATTAGTAAACTAAAAACAACATGTATATCTAAAAGCATAATGCCAGTCAAATGATTTTATGGTATGGATTTATGATAGAATACTATGCAATCATTAACATCATGTAACAAAAATATCTAATGACGTTAAAAGATGTCTCAAAAAAAAAAACAGTATGGCAGGTAAAATTTTTCTTTTTGGGGATAAATGCTTAGAAAAAGTACTTCTTTAAAGATTAGAAAACTGTACTGAAACATAAAAAGTTATTGCTAGATGGTAGAATTACTAGTAACATTCGCTTTTTTCCTTTTGGTTATCCACATTTTCTAAATCTCACATTTCTTTTGTAATAAGAAAAGTTAAAGCTATTTTAACTCTACCTATATTTGTTCCCAGCAAGAGAACTGGAATAAACAAATGGAAAGACATGTTGAGTAAAAGTTGTTTTATTTCTTCTCTATATATTTTTTCTCAAGAAAGCTCATTAATTTTGCTTTTTTCAGTTAAAAAAATAGAAGATTTGCAATGGCAATTTTATCTCAGTCTTACTTTTATAAGAGTGAAGTGATACGTATTTTAAATAAGCACATGATTCCATTCAGTATGCTTAACATGAATATGAATCCAGGAATTATTTTTAAAAACCACTCTATATCATATATATTGGACCCCAGAAGAAATTTTTTTTTAAATGGTTACTGTGTCCCATTCCTAAAGTGGGTAAGAAGCAAATACATGCTGATAAGCATTATGACATCAAAACAATTGAGCCCAAAACCAGGAGGAAAATGGATAAGTCATCTAAGCTTTCTTTAGACACATGATCCAAATCCTATCTCATGGAGATTACCTTTCTGCTCAAAGGCACTCGTTTTTATTCAATCTCTAACTGGGTTCCATTTATCTACAGTAAAGATAAACTGTTCCTCAGAAGTCAGGTGCTTAAACATTTTTCAAAGCCACCAATAAATTCGCTGTTATTCGTACAATTTCCAACTATGTTCCTAAGGTAGTACAGGAGACCCAAGAAACTAATAAGTTTGTGCAAGATGTTACAAAAGGTAGTGAGTCTGCACTTTTCATAATCCAAGTTTGTTACAAGAAATTGACTAAAAAATAAGGAGGTAAAAGAAGAGAAGAGATGGGAGAAAGAACGAACCCAAAAAGTAAAAAATATTTTGCTAACAATATATATACACACACACATATATAACACACACGTATATGAACGTATATATATACACACACATATATATATGAACATATATATATACACACACACACACATATATATGGACATATATATACACATACACACACAAATATATCCAAATTCAATTCACACTTAAGAATAGAATAATTATAATAAAATATTAAATTTTGGATATTTTTCAGAGCTACAAATAAATAAAATTTTTGAAATACTGCAAATTGATAAAAAAATAAATTTTAACCACTGTAATAACACAAAAGTTGACTTACCATAAATTTCTGAATCTTGGGGGAAGTATTGTTTGTATCCTAAATCTTATCCACTAATGCAGAGGTGAGGATGCATCATAGCCACCAGTGCTGATTTTTAATGAAGGATTTAAAATGGTTGATTAAATTCCCAGATTTTATTCTTCAACTCTACCCCATCAAGAAAGTTAATGACATGACACACTAAAAATCTGTGTTACTAAGGATGTTCTATCCAATCAAAGCCTCTTTAGTTGCTAAGCTGCTCAGAAAGAAAAACTGACACTTGAAGAAAGTCACACCAATTACCCCAAATGTTCACTGTGATATTGAAGCATTAGATACAAAACCATTCTAAACAACCAGAGGCACAGGGTGAACATTCACCCACACTCTAGCTGATGCCGGCGGCAGAATAAAAGAGCATCTACTTATGAGATTACTTTTCAGAGACATAAGTATACCTTTAAAAAGGTAAATATACAAAAGCCTACAATGAAGATAAATAGTATTTATATACTTAGAAGACAGATATATCCAAAAACCTGCAATAAAGATGAATAATAAATATTTACATTCCAAGTCAAAAAAAGTCAGTCTAAAGAGAAACATTTTATGTTTTCATTTCTGAATACTGCAGCAAAATAATGATTATAATAATTTTAATCAAACTTAAAAGGAACGCCTTATTACCTCGTTAATACAAGCTATTCACCTTTGAACAGGCAAAGGAGGGAAAAATCCTTGAGGCATTTTTATACTCTGACTCAACAATGATCTGATAATTACCCCATCATTATCTGCTGATGAAGGACTCCATTCTAAATTCTCAGCATTTTTTATACTGCAGGCATGTTATTTCAAAAGTCTTACCTGGGAAGAGACCAAGAAGACTGACCGGAGATTTGTTGGTATCAATAGTCACTTTGTGGCTTGCAGTTTTTGAAGGCTGACATGGGAGGCAAATTAACTTTAGGGGAAGTCTAAATTTACATTGGATAACTCGAGGAATGCCTGAAATACAAGAGAGATACGTAGATTTATAGACTTACAAATAATTTGGCAAAAAGAAATTGTACTACTAATAGTTTGAGCAGCAACATATCCTGGTTTGTTTGTTGCCCGCCTCCTTTGTTTAACAAAGCTAAAGTCACTGTGAATTGTTATCAGGATTCATTTGTCACTACTATTTTTCCAAAGGTACAAGGCGCAAATAAAATTTTAAAAGACGCGTAGACATGAGACCTTTAGTAGTATCACATTTTTTAAATCATCACATTTGGACACTATATAACATATTACAGTTACTTACATTCAATTACTGAACTTAGCCTTTAAGACCTGCAGAGCTCTAGCCCTAATCCAAGACTAACAGCAAACACGAGCAAAGAATATGAAGTTTCTATCATATCAGTAAGACTATATTACCATATCTAAAAATTTCTCTACTCAAAAACATTTTCAATCTTTAGCTTTTTTTACTTGATGAAGATTTAAATTTTGAGCATGAAAGCAGGATTTGCCCTTCTCAAGTTCTATTGAAATCCATGTCCATTTTACACAGTAATATGTAGAATATGGCCTTTATATGAATTATATTTTTCTCAAGCCATTTAACTTTACATATCACCTTGAGTGACATTTTGGAAGGCTTACATTGTCATTCCTTTGTCAAACTATTTTAATACTCATACATGCATACTGAAATAGGTAACAATATATTACAATGAACACTTTCATTTTAGAATTTTTATAAAATATTTCAAATTCATTTTCAATATTTTTACAGAAAATGAAATTAAAACCAAAGAAAATTAGGCTCTCTACTTATATATCTAGAAAAGCAATTCTAAAACGCTAGTGTTCGCTCCTTTTTTTCCTAGAACACCGTTTTGGACTGGCTAAGATGAAAGGTAACCTATAAAAAGCCTACGTCATGCCATATTGCTGTCGAAAAATTGAAAACCCAAAATGTTCTAACTATACTTGATGAATCCACACATTAATTCCTTTATTTCTTTATAGAGGAGTCAGTGAGCAGCTTAAAAATAGCAAAAGCAGAAGCAGTTATTTTGGAGACATGATCCCGAAGCAGGACCCCTGGAATGAGCAATATATTTTGCTAAAGTCAATTGGAATTGTACGGCTTACTCCACATCCAAGCAGGGAGTACACTTTTCAGTCCTACTTATTCACTAGGATAGTGAGAAATCACCAACAATGGCAAGCATATTGATATATGAGGTCAATTAAATACTTTTTCAGAGCATGTGGAACATATTTGTCATTCTCTTCAATATAATCTATTATCCATCAAGTTTTACATAGCTCATTTTTTGCTCATAACCAACAGATGTTAAATTCACTTCTCCTGGAATCCTAGATGCAAACTAGGAGTCTCCTAAGAAAAGTCCCAGGGTATTATTTCATGACATTCTGTGAGGTTTTTAGAGGCATGTGTATTTGTACTTTACAATGATGAGATGTTTTGACTCAAAATATTACGGTAACATGATGTAAGATACGGCACGAAGCACAACTATCAATATCACCACAAGAAAATTACAAAACACTAATTTCTCCAACTTTGAGGAAATTTCCATATATTCTATATATCCTCAAATTATGGAGATACAGCCACTGAGTATGTTTCTTCTACAATAAGTAAATTGTAGAAAAAATTGTAGATTGCATCAATTAATAGATATGGTCTGGAAAGAAAAAGGAAACTGAAACTTATTTCCATCTTCTTCATTTTTAATGACTAGTACAACAAAAACCAATGCTTCCTCTTCTGACAAATTCTGTATGTGCAAAAAAAAGAAACTATCTTCTATATAATTTTAACCAAATTCTGAGCTAATTTTTCAAACCAAAATTTGGCTGTGAATGTTCCTCTAAAACTATACTGCTAACACTGTGGCCACTGCTCCACTTGGACCAGGTACCGACTAAATTCACAGTTAAAAAAATAAAATAAAACATAATCAACAACATTGCCTTTAAGTGACTGGACCTATATATTTGAAGACTATTACCCTAAATCTGCAAAAACTCAGTGCTACAGAAACTGGTAGTGTATATGAGTTTTCAGAAATAGAAACAAATGGATTGAAAGCACTAATAAACCCAAGAAGGAAAATACATTATAACTCAATTTACAGTTTAGCTAGATCAGTGAATGACAATATCACACGAGGGCAATGTTTTGCAGTTGCTGAGGTTTGTAGAGCCCCTCCAGAATATCTTTTCTCTGCAGGAATTACAAACCTGTTTCATAAGACATTTGGAAAATATTACTTTGAAAAATGATGACACTCATACTTAATAAAATGATTATGGCTATTTTTTAAATGATAGCAGCTCAAAAAGTTTTAGCATTAGGGAAAAAAAAAGAGTTATGAAATCCTTAAGAAAGCAGTCTATGGAAACCATTCCTTAAAAGAAAAATTAGAATGTCACTACTTTATAACACTATCAAATTAAAATCCAAGGACTTTACAATTCAATCTCTGGTTTTTAGATGTGGGGTTTATCAGAGGCACACTTCTACCAGGATTTACGCCTTCTTAAGAAACCTGAAGTGTGAATTTGGCTACCAATTACTCTTCAGGCTGTAATTGTGTCTAAGAACCTGAAGCCAAAGACCCATAGAGACATGTGTGGGTGTGTGTTTGTAATAAAAAGGAGAAGAATTACATGTATTTAAAGACGTTTCACAGTTGCTAGTACAACAGCTTTCAACTTAGTTGAAAGAGACTAATTAGTCCTAACTTCGTCTACCATCAGTGATATTTTCTCTACATAGTTGGCAAGGTCGTCTCTACATCGGTCTTACTGAATTCTCTGAGTGCTATGTTAAGAAAAAGGAAACTTTTGTCATTTATTTTACTCCAGTATTAGCCTATTCATTCATCAGACTGACGTTGTTCTGCATTTTCTTTTACCAGATATAATCACCTCTCCTTCAAACACTTCCCTCCCTAACCTACTAGAGGAAATGGACAGTCGTAACTACTATGGGGCAATTAATCACGAAATTATTTAACACCCAGAGAGAATATTCTCTCAAAACTAGTTCTAACAGAACATCTTTTTTCTAGGAAGAGACTTCTAATTACATCTGGCACACCCAAAAGCCCAGTATCACTGTCACACTGGAAGCCAAAATGTGCTTTAAAAAAATGAAAGAAGAAAGAACATAGAAAAATACATATATATGAGTAAAATAACCATACCTATATATTACACATCTATATAATGCCTTTGGAACTCTTTCCAGGGGCCTGCTAGAGTAATTTCATATTGAAAACAAGGACCCCAAAGCAGTAGCAATGTCTGGTAGCCAGAACTTCCTTGATCCCTTCCTGTTATGTCTGGCTACGTACTGTGCTTCATCTGCAGTCATGTTTTACACTGCCCACGTCATGTAACTTTAATGCAGAAATAATGGAGACTAACCCTTATGGGACAATATAAAACCTCGTTTGCCTCTCTTTTTCCACGTATAAAAGCAGAACAACTTATCTGCAATACAGCCCGAACAGATCAAGACAATAAAATGGATCAGTCTTTGAAATAGGAAGCCTTGTGTGTAAGTAAGATCTAAGTGGCAACATATTATTTTCTTGCCTACTAGGTGCCGCTGAATAGTTCAACTCCACTCCCTAAAGCTTAATTATAATTTAAAAATGTATCAAAGAGATTATTAAAACCAGCTTTCACTTTTTATTGAAACACTACAATTTCCATAAATTGTGTGTTTTTTCCTCATAGTTTGGGCTCAATTTACAGTAAGAAGGAATAAACATCTTTCAACAATAACCTTAACTGATGTTTTTAAAACTTAAAACTAATCATTTAAATAATATGATATTTCACAAAGTTCAGTCTAAAATCTTAACAATTACATGCAATCTAGCCGCTAATTAAAATGTAAATATTCATTATTTATATCGGGTTATTTTTAATGACCCAAATTCTAATTTGACAAGTATACTATGTGCTGTTAAGCTAAACATTTAGTTCTATTAAAACACTTCCCATATAAATACCACTTTCCAGACATCCAGATGACATGTGCTGTGCAACTTAGGTTGTTGGTGTCATCCGAACTGCGTGAGTAAATATTGCCACTACCTTTAAATCATTTCATTATATTTATTTAATTATTACTAATTGATACTGCTATCTAAAATGTATCTTAAAATAACTACTAAAGATAAACTACCACAGTAAGTCTATATCTAAGAGGAAAAATAATCAGAGATACTCGTAGTGCCCGCTATGTACTCTGTTAGCATGCAGTTCAAAGATGCGTGCTTGATCCCTGCCCCCAAAAAGCTCAACACCTGTGGAGAACCTCAGGGACACACTTAATTAAGCTCATATTATGAGCAGAATTATAGCAGAGTGAAGCAAAAGATTTGGGGGAAACAAGGTGAGTAACAACACTGACCCCAGCAAGTCGGAGGAGGTCAGGCCTTTGATAACGTTCCTGACCAAGACAAGGAATAGGCCCGCAGACCGCATGCATACACTGTTCTTATCAGAGAGACGCGAAGCTCTTGGGCCATGTAGAAAAACACAGTTTAGAATTCAGTAACAAACACCCTTTTTTAAAACTCTTTCTTTAAGTAAAATAACAAAGCATGCAGCTAAATAACCAATGACTTGCAGAAATAAGTGGTCAATAACACCTTTAATATTTTTCAAAAAAGCCATTCTATTCTGACTCCTAATTTCATTCATTCTAATGACTCAAACAACCAATAATGACAGCTTTTTGTGGAAATCTCTACTACGCTTTTCATAGCAGAATCAAGGCACTGTATCTTCCTAAAGAACTTTCTCTAGAACAGCCCATAAGAAGAATTCGTTCACGGTGTAATATACCAATTCAATTCATCAACCAAATTTCAGTCCTGAAATTCATTTTTTTCTAAATTGTCTTTACACTTACCATCAGGATTTCGATCTATCCATTGCAGGCAATGCAAAAATGGATAGGAGAAAAAGAATGCAACAAATTATCTGTGGTAAAGTTACAACACAAATTTGATACATATCTGCTTAAAATACAAATTAAAATTTCAAGATTCTCACAGATGACTTAAGTAACTCTGCAGACACAAGTAAAGTCAATTCACAACTGAAGAGTATGACATAAGTAAACAAAATCCAACAATATACTTGCTTATATTTCCATTCTCAGAAGTCTGTGAGAATGTGTTATTCTGGTGTAAATGAGGGAAAAAAAAAAAAAAACACAAAAACAAGTGATGATCTAGCCAAACAGCAAAAAAGACTCAATATGTAAATGACGTCGAGCATCAAATGAAAAAAGACTCAATATGTAAATGACGTCGAGCATCAAATGAAAAAAACTGAGCAAAAGGGAAAATACATAATATTAATATTTCCAGTTACTTTTAAATTTTATTTTATTTTAACATTCCCCTTTAAAGTCAATCCAGTTCCTCTTTTTTATAATAAATGTTTAAAAATACTACTGTTAATAATGTCTGGTTTTTGTTTTGTTTTGTTTTGTTTTGCTTCTCTTGGCATTTCGCAGACTTTCTCAATGTTAATTTCTAATTCGCTTTCAACCAATACCAATGATTTGTAATCTTTTAAATCTGTCTTTTACAGAGAAGCATAATAGTCAAAAATGGATGAAAAAATGCAGACTAAGATTTAAAAGATCTGTTCTGGGCCGGGCGCGGTGGCTCACGCCTGTAATCCCAGCACTTTGGGAGGCAGAGACGGGTGGATCACAAGGTCAAGAGATTGAGACCATCCAGGTCAACATGGTGAAACCCCGTCTCTACTAAAAATACAAAAAAAAAATTAGCTGGGCATGGTGGCGCGTGCCTGTAATCCCAGCTACTCGGGAGGCTGAGGCAGGAGAATTGCCTGAGCCCAGGAGGCGGAGGTTGCGGTGAGCCGAGATCGCACCATTGCACTCCAGCCTGGGTAACAAGAGCGAAACTCCGTCTCAAAAAATAAAAATAAAAATAAAAGATCTGTTCTTAAGTATTTTAACTCATAAGATGCTAAAGAGTTTTATTTAGCCACTGAAACAGTGTCTAAAATTCTGAATACTGCCCTAATGTTGGAGCAATCTATAATATTCTTTTCTACTAATTGATACTGATAAGAGGCAGGCGGCAGACAAATGCCTAGGCAAACAGGGAAGGTCCCCGGTGAAAGGTCACCTTCAGGCTTACCGCAGCTGATCCTGGATGAAACCCAAACCCAGAAGGAAAACTTCTGCCCCTGTTTGCCCGACCTTTCCCAATTGATTCTTTCCAAATAATGTCTCAGCCAATCGAATGTTGCCTTTTCCTATACTACCTATGGCTTACTTGGGCATGCCCGCAAGCGCACTGGGCGAATGGGGTGAAGCCACTAGGAATTTGCACCTTATGCAGGGGAGGAGCCTGGCCTCATCAGCTTATGTGTGGGAGCCCTAGCATTCAGTCTGTGAGGTGGAAACCTGCCTGCTGGACCCCTCTCTTTGCTGAGAGCTTTCCTATTGCTTAAAAATTCCACCTTCCCCACTCTTCACTGTGTCGGCATACCTAATTCTTCCTGGTCGTGAAATAAGAACCGGGATTTAGCTGAATTAAGGAGCAAAACTCTGCATCAATACTAGCCTTTAGTTCAAATAAATAAAGTCTGACTAGATAACATTCTTATGTTAGGAATAAAAATGTATCCAATTTTTATCTGAAAAGAGAGAACCAAATATCACATATGGAAATCAGCTAAATAGACTTTTCATGAACTACTCATAAGACATAAAAATAATGAGAACATATAATTTTACTTAACAGTAGAAAATAACGTGTTCTCATTTAATTATATTTCACAGTATGTTTTTTTATCTTAAAGGTTTAAGCAGTTAACTCATAACTCCACCCACTTAAAGGAATGATTAGGCCTGTATGTTTACCTGTTGGTCTGGAATAAGAAACCACAGCCTTTCCTTCCAGTTCAGATGGTGTGTAACTTCTTTTCAGATAAGCAGAAAAGCTTGCTGTTCTAGTCAAATCTGGTGCTATAAGCAATGGAAAAATAATATACATTACATAATTTGGGGCAATTGTTATTAACAATAGTTAAAATTTAATAAGTCCTCACCGCATGCCAGGTACATGCCAGGTACATTTTACACGAAGTAACTCATTAAATCATCACAACAAACCTGTGAGGTTGTTACTATTATTGTCCTCATTTTTTATGCATGAGAAAATTGGAATACAGGAGATGAAGAAGCTTGCCTAAGACCGTGCGCAGTGGCTCACACCTGTAAGCCCAACACTCTGGGAGGCCTAGGCAGATGGATCATGTGAGGCCAGAGGGTTCGAGACCAGCCTCGCCAACACGATGAAACCTCATCCCTACTAGAAATACCAAAAATTAGCTGGGCATGGTGACGCCTAGAAGGTGGAGGTTGCAGTGAGCCAATATTGCTCCACTGCATTCCAGCCCAGGCGACAGAGCAAGACTCTGTCTCAAAAAAAAAAAAAGAAGAAGAAGAAGAAGAATCTTGCCTAAGGTAGCACAGCTACTAGGAACTGCCTCCAGAACAAAGTACAAAGAATCTGGCATTAGACATCACTGCTGCTCTTTACAAAGATGAACAGAGAAAACGGTACACAAAGGGCAAGAGAACGTGGGAGGAAAATAGCAATTTATCATGCATAGAACATAACAGACTGAAGGAGAAAATGGATGAGGGGGATTGAATAGGGATATAACAGCCACTGAGCAGACTGCGCATGCTCATCTAGGTTAACATATTTGGCTCCCGACCTCTATTAGAGAGCCATAAGTGATTTTTAACTGGAAAAAATAAACTATTCAGAATGTATTCTAGAAAGACAAATTGGAATTATACAAAATCAGAAACGCGAGCAAAAGTTCAATGGCTGGGTATTACCTATGAGGTGACAACACTCAGTCATTCATTCATTCATTCTGCGAAGATATATTGAATTCTCACTAATGGTAGGCTCTCAGCTATGGGTTGGTTACATGGAGGCAAAACAAGAAAGGTATGTTCTTGACTTCATGAATAAGAGATAGAAGCCTTAGCAGAAAAGCTATAGTACACAGAAAAAAAAGACTTGAAAGGTAATTCAAAGATCATGTTAACAGGACTAACGACAATTTGGGAGTGAGAGATTCTATACGAAGAAATCTTACTAAGAGTTGCCACTAATGACATGTCTACTATTTTAAGCATTATGATGAATATTTTATAGATTTACTTTTTAATTACATCCTAAAAGCAACCTTGTAAGACAAATATCGTTATTGTCTTTTTGCAGATTAAAATAACTGAGGCTCCAAGTGATTACTACAGTAGTTTTTATCCAAGGTTACACATCAAGTGAGTATCAGAGCTAGGATTCAAACTCAGGCCAAACTCCAAACCCCAGATTTGTTCTTCAAACATTACTGAATCCGTAAATAGATCACTAGAGAAGCGCCAATAAACTAAGCCTTCTAAATTTTAGAAACAGGCCAGAGCCAGTGGCTCACGCCTGTAATCTGGCCTTTGGGAGGCCAAGACAGGCAGATTGCTTGAGCCCAGGAGTTCAAGATCCACATGGATAACACGGTGAAACTCCGTCTCTACTAAAAATACAAAATATTAGCCAGATGGTATATGCCTGTAGTCCTAGCTACTCAGGAGGCTGAGGTGGGAGGATCACTTGAGCCCAAGAAGTCGAGGCTGCATGAGCCATGATCACGCCACTGCACTCCAGCCTGGGCCAATGAGAGTGAGACCCTGTCTCAAAAATAAATAAATAAATAACAATGACAGGTCCAACAAGTTCAGAGAAGCACGTAGACATCTGTAATCCTAAAAGATTAATTTGACCCAACAACGATTGACTGAATGTTCATGCTGATGCTAAGAGGGAAAACATAAGCAAAACAACACAATCACTGATTTTGGTGTGATCCCAGTCTCACCATTCAGACACAAAGTCATAGCCATTAAATGGACAAACTAGTATTTCTTTTTTAATTCACACCATGGTAGACTTTCAGCCAAAACAAGAAACTTACTCATAAATTCAAAGGTGAACTGATCACAAGTCAATTCTAACGGTGGTTGCACGCAGACGGATAGTTTGACTTTTTGCAATACCACTCTATTCTGTAGTGTGACCTAAAGAAACAGAAATTGTTACCATAGAAAATTACATTTTACTCAAATTGATAGATGAGCATAACTACTTAATAATACCTAGCAAATAATTAGAAAACATTACCTGAGGAAAAAATGAGTAGCCACAAAACAAACACAATAAGTACTAGATTAAAATATTCCATCAAGTAGAAACTGTGCAAAAATGTTAAACAGACTTTACTCAAAAGAATAAAAACTGGCAATGTGTAGATAAAAAGATGCTCAAGATCCTTAGTTATGAAGGAGATACAAACTAAAAACCACAATGAAATACTACTACGTACCCAATAAAATGGCTATAATCAAAAGTACGGACAATAACACCTGTTAGCAATGATGTGGAGAAACTGGACCCCTCATACATTGCCAGTGGAAATGTAAATTGGTACAGCTACTCTAAGAAAAGTCTGGCAGTTTCTTTAAAGCTGAAACATAAATTTACCATATAACTTCACAATTCTATACCAAGAGAAATGAAAAAATATGTCCACCCAAAAACTTACACACAAATGTTCAAAGCAACAATACGCTAATAGCCAAAAACCAGAAACAGTCCAAATCCCCATCATGATGATGAACAAAATGTGACATATTCATACAGTGAAATAAATGAAATACACTATGAATAATGTTAATGACAAAAACCATTAGCAGTTTTCTATACTCATGGAGCCACGCTAACAAATGTCTGTGCATTCTTTCATTTATATGCCACAACATGGGTGAACCTTAAAAACAGTACGCTAAGTGAAAATATCCAGTCACAAAGAACCACGTGTTGTATGATCCACGTATATGAAATGTATAGAATAGGCAATCTACAGACAAATGAAGTAGATTAGCAGTTGCTTAGGGATGGGGGATGGGAGGATGAGGAATGACAGCTAATGGGTGTGGCGTTTCTTTTAGGGAATAAAATGTTCCAAAATTAAATTGTGGTGATGGTTGCAAACTTCTGTAAATACACTATACTAAAAACCTTTGGACTGTAACTTTAAATAACTGAATAATATAGTATATAAATTATATCTAAATAAAGCTATTTCAAAATGTTCCATCATGGTGACTGGTGTGTCATGAAAGAAAAATTCAATAAATAAACCACCATTCTATATGGTAACTTTTCTATAGAGCAGTTCAGCCCAGTTACTAGACTGTTATATGAGACAGATACATACATTAACTAACATAATTCAAAGACCATTTATATCGTTAAGAAAAGTAGCTTTAAATTTTCTCTTCAGTAAGAAGCATGTATCACCTCCTCCTTGATTAAAAGTGTATAATGTTTTTATATATCCGAGACTATACAATTGGCCCTCAAACATTATGTATATATGATTAGATTCAGTAAATATATTAATTTTAAGCGATGTGAGTATTCTGTGCAACTTAAAAATAAGTTAAACGGAAAAGTTGGGACTTGCAAAGGAAAATTTGTAAAACAACTATTGATGTAATTAAATAGGAGAAATGCAATGAACGATGAGTCCTCAATTTTTGCTTTGTAAATCCTGGGAATACACAGGGAATCATCATGCCACATACTAACTGCTCATTATTAAAATACTGTTAATATAAGTTAAAATATTTAATAATGAGCATTCCTTGAGGACGTCTGGCCATTGTAAACACAGTAACTTTTTAGTGAAACCCTGATGGCAATCACGTCAAGAAGACAGCATGCAAGTGCTACCAACAACTTCCTTTCGACCAGCTAGTCCATGAAACAAACAGGACCCAACTTAAGTACTTCAGTAGTACGATAATATAATGCTAGTCTGTACATATATTTTAAAATAAAATGAATAATATAAATGACAAAAATAATGAGCAGTTTCTATATTCATGGAACAATGCTAACAAATTATTTATGTACATTATTTAATTTACTCTTTATAAAAATGTTTAACAGATAGCATCATAAACCATTTTACAAAAGACTGTGGCTCGGAGATGCTAGTAAGTAGCCCAAGGCCACTCTCAGCGAAAAAAAACACAACTTAACTGCTGTCTACCAGAATCCAGAGCCCATGCCTTTAACCAAGTGGAGATAAGACCCCAAATAACTTTGCAAATGAAAAACTGTCACCATCTTACGGTTTCCAAAATAGAAGTTCAGAGAAGGTAAATAACACGTGCAGAGCCATCAGGCCAACTAGGGAGCTGAAAATGGTGATCAGGAAAGTCTCATGAGAGCTCAGTTTTCAAAGTAGAAACGAAAATTCCTTTAAGTAGCAATAAGCCATTTTGAAAGAGAGCAGTCTGACTTTTCCTGGCATAAGGATGTCTACTTAGACAATAATCACAGAATTTTACACTGTAACAAGCAGGATTTGCATTAGGTTTGGATGCACAATCATGATAGCTCTCATGCACGTACGTATTGAACCCCAACAATGGGGTAGGCCCTTTCAAAATACAAATCAAGGAGACGGGTAACGAAAATAACAACAGTAACAAAGAACAGTTGTGTCTGAGCCAAAAAAGAGTTAAAGACTTGGCTAGATCATAAGCCTCATGTTTTAAGAGGAAAATAATTATAGAATATTAAGGAGAAAATATAAAACATTAATACAAGAATTTTCCATGCTATTTTCTGCCTCTTATGAAATATAATCCTTAGGAAATATAATATCAAATTTTTATCCTAGATATATAAATATGACTCCAAAGGCCAGGTATGAACGACCACTCTGCCTAGTTGCCTGGAATAGGTGGTCAACGCATCATGCACACATACTCAAGGTAGCCACATCTTCATTCACTCGGAACGGATGGAAAAATTTTCTCAATTAACAGGATTTATGATGATGGAAACTTGCATGGTTATATATCTTGGCTGCTGTTGTTATAAAAGGCCATAAGGAGAGATTTATAGTAGAAATTTGTATAGAAACTGTCAGACAGGATCAGGAAGTCATTGTGTCTGCTGTGTACGTCCCGCCAATTTTCTGCAACCCTTGCCTGTTGCATTCTTTCTTGTGCTTTTCTAACGGCAATGAGAGAGTTATGACTTAGGTATTCTCAAATATGGTGAGTTCTACGAATGAAAGAGAATTTTCCGGTAGTGTCATGCCATCATTTTAAGGTGGCTATTACACATAAAAGCTTAAGAACTACGCAGGAGGGAAAGGTATGTTTACTTATGGTGCTAACTCCTGGTTGGTTGGGGATACAATTAACATGAGCAATGTTATCTAGTTAAGGCACAAGATCTATTTTTGCAATAAACAGTGCAACCCTAAATTATCACACGTATGTGTCTGAACGTCATCAGTAGATAGATATAAAAGAGGTGTCCCTATATAAAAGTACAGATCATTCCTGGAACTCTACAGTTATTGCTTTTTCTTAAGTGTTTGATTTCTTGCCACTAATGCCTTTCCAGATTCAGAAGTATCAATGAGATACAGCCTTTGATTGGATTGGGGGAAAGGAGACTGGGGAAAGACCACCCTTGTTTCCAGTGGCAAGCATCCACAAAACTTAGCTCAGGAAACTGTTGTAAGATTCAGCTTCCTTCAAGTCCGACCAAAGATCTCCACACTTGGGCCACCCGCTGGCTCCAGTGTAAGCGAACACAATTGGTAAAGCTGGGTGCCCTGTCAAGCTCCTCCAAGGACAGCAACCCGTAATCTAAGAAAATATAAAGCCCCGTCCAAGTCTTGACTAAGTGAATTGCCAAAATCCACAACCTTCTCCTGCTTCCAAGGTTTGGGCAGTGATAAATATTTTCAGCTTAATAATGTGCTGACTGATTACCATATTTTAACCTAAATGCTTTAAGAGGGTTCTACATTTAGGTTCTAGTTCTAAAATTCTACAATGACAGGACTAAAATTCTTAACCAAAACCCCATCCTTAGTATTCTGTTTTTCCAGGACTACCAATTGTCACTACTCTAACTTTGTGGCGTCTTCATTTAATATTTTCTTGCTGTAAATACATTCACTTAAAGCTATAGCAGAGAGATGGCTGGGAATTCTTTTCAAACAAACACATAATCATAGGTAGAAAAAAGATATTAGCATCCCTGTGCTTCTCCAATATCAGTTCATAGTATACTATGTATGATGATGCTACAATCAGTTAATTGGTCTATTATGAATGCTGATGACACAATTTCTTTAGCAGATTTTAAATGTTAACTTTATTTCCAAAGAAAAAAGTCTGGATCGTGCTACATATTTAAATAATGATAATAGTACTTCATAATAATTGTTTATATTATATCCATCCTGATATAAATGCAGTTATCAGTTTTATATTTCCAAATAACAGTAAAGGTTTTCTATTCACTGCTCAAGGCTGGGGAAATATCTACAAATGCAAGGGTTTATTTTATGTTTCTAAGCTACTTACAAGTTGTCAACAGTAACAGATGTGATAAAATATATAATATTGTTTGCACATTACAGTATAAAATCTGGTACAATACCTTCACTGTGACCGAAGGGACAAGGTCAGTTCCCACCTCAACATCGGTTGCTTGCTGTAAACACAAAATTGAGAAGGCGAGAAGGAACGATTTCAACATTACACAGCAATGAGTGAACACAATGGGGGCAATGTATACTTCCCAGAACTATAAAGGATTTATCACTCTAATGACAGACTAAAAGAAAAAATGTGGCTTTTTTGATGCCTTCATCCAGAAAGTCATAAGCTAATATTAAAAAACTCATCCCCTAAAAAGAAAAAAAAAATGTCACATATATTTTATCAAACCACTCAATTCCCAAATTTGCTTAAATATTTAAAGTATTAATTCTATTAGCTTGTTATTTATATTACAGAAGAAGACCTGCCTGTATGTCCCAGAAAATATTATGCCATTCATTCAGATCCTTGTATTTTCACCTTGCGGAAGGTATGTGTCATTCTGATTAATAACATGTATCTAAGACATGCAACTAATGATATAAAGATTGAGTGGCCTTACACCTAGAAAACAGAAGTGGGCCATGTGCAGTGGCTCATGCCTGTAATCCTAGCACTTCAGGAGGGCCAGGCGAGTGGATCACCTGAGGTCAGAAGTTCAAGACCAGCCTGGCCAACATGGTGAAACCCTGTTTCTACTAAAAATACAAAAATTAGTTGGGCATGGTGGCAGGCACCTGTAATCCCAGCTATTCAGGAGGCGGAGGCAGGAGAATCACTTGAACTTGGGAGGCAGAGGTTGCAGTGAGCAGAGATCACGTCACTTCACTCCAGCCTGAGTGAAAGAGTGAGACTCTGTCTCAAAAAATAAAAAGGAAAAAAGAAACGAAACGAAACACGAAAGTATACTTTTTTTTAACCAGTGTGTATCATCAACTAATTCAATAGACATTCTTTGAGTGACAGCTTGCATTACCTGCTCCTACCTCTTAAAGAATGCATAGTATGATGTAATACATAAAACACTTCCCTTATCACTTAGAACTTATTTTTTAGAGTAATACATTGATACAGAAAAATGCTCTAAGATAGAATAAGACTAAGGGGTAACATGTCTTCTAGTAATACCCATATGAATTCTTGGGATTAAAATGATGTCTCTATCCAACCAATAAATATGATCCATTGTGCTTTTTTACTTGAAATATTTTTAACTAAGAAAAACTAAGCCACTTCTAAGCAATGGGATCCTATAATATAATGGGCATCAGCAGAATTCAGAGTTGAGAGCTTCATATTCTACTTCTGGCTCCACAGGAAACAATATTTGAACTATGATCCAGCTTCTCAATCAGAAAGATGGACTAGCAATGCTTATGTCCTCTAAGGAAGACTCCATTATAATATAAATGATATTACTTTTTTCAGATGTATGCTTTCACAATAATGATTCAAAGTAAAATATTAATCCAGGCTTTGTGCTCTAATATTACCTAAAATCCAGGAAATATTTTACAGTTAGCTATCCATAGATCTAGAGGAGAAATCAACATCTCCTGTTTCCTGTTCCTTTCAATCCATGACTAAACACCTAGATACTTCAAGGATAGCAGTCCTTTGGGAGCATAAAGCTAGAGCAAGAAAAAAATGGCTGTAAGAAGACGTCATGGCACCGAAGCCACATAAATTGTAGGGCTAATGTTTTCCAATGAGATGAATATGATACTCTTAAGAAATCGCTTAAGAAGTAAAAAACAGTAACACGGGGAAAATGAAGCTGGAAAGAGACACCTTTTTAAGAGAAAACAGCATTCAGGGTTACCAACAGGGAAATATACATTATAACATAGTGCTACTACATAAGGCTTTTTCCTACAAAGACTAAAAGTTCCTAAAAAACAGAAAGGGAATTCCTCATTCCAAATAGCCTATGTTGAAGAGAACCTAGAAAAACTGAGTTTCCCAGAGGGAGGAAAAAAAGTCATTTCCACAGCAGGAAAATATGTGTACATTTGTCAGCTAACTAAGCAGAAATGTCCCACTTAGACTACACACTTAGGTAGAATGAAAAATGGTGTGTGCTGAATGGCTGATGTTTAAAACAGTGCCTCTACTGTGTGACTCTGCTGGGTGAATATTTCTTTCATATATAGGCCTACTCTTCTGTGTACCCAAGTTACTACACTATAGCAATGTTGATATGATTTTTATCACAAATTGGATTGGCTGTTTACGCTAAGGTTAGTCTCTGGACACTCATGATATACATGTTCAGGTATGCTCTGATACCGAAATAATGAAGACACTTCCAGGCAGAATTTTATGATATAAACTCCAAATATGGTAAAATGAGTGAATTCAACCACTTCCCTAAATTGATCATCTGTTGGTAGAAACACAGATAAACTGCAGTGGGTGAGACATAATCAATCATATCCTAACAAGTACCTACAGAAAACTAAATCAGGAGATGAAGTAATATAACCAAGAACAGTCCTCCTTTCATCCTTTCTGTTTCTCAGTTGTATTAATTCACTCATTCATAGAGCAAATACATATCGAGCACCCATTATTTGGCAACCACTAAGGATACAGCGGTGAACAAGACACCTCATGGGCATAGATGGTTGTGATAATAATCACAATGATGGTGATGGTGATAGTGATGATGATTATAATACTGAAAGAAGTGAAATGTAATTAGATGAAAATGACAATCCTAACAATCAACAAAGTGGAGTCTATTATTATTCCCATTTTGCAGATGAAAAAATTGAGACTAAGAAAATTAAGTACCTTGCCTTGTGTCACACAGATAGAAATAAGGGAAAAAATAATTCTTGAACCAACTATATACTCTTAAACTACCCTACCGCCACCACCACCATCAAGTATTAAAGACTAGAAATCATTAAACTTTGAACTAGGCCACTCACAAACATTATCTCATTGAACCTTCATCAAAAATCTTGTAGGGTCAGTATTATTCAGCTACATTAATATTATGTCAATGCTATGGTACTAAAGAAGTTAAAAAAAATTTTTAAGTAGGATTAGAACTAGGGCGAGAAGCCCTTCTACTGCCCTCTTCCCCCACAATCCCACTTCTTTTTAAAACAGAAATCCAGCCCAAGGAGTTCCTTACTGGCACTAGGGGTCTGCTCATGTTTTTATCTAGAAAGTAACAAGGCCTACCATTTGTTATCCTTCCCGAAGTTTCTACTTGAAGGACCAAAGTTGATATCAACACGTTTTGATCCTAATTCATCAGAATCTACTACTATTATAAACCCCTTTAAAATCTGCAAGTACACCTACAGAAACTGAATCAAAGTTAGGAGAAACCACAACAGAAACGCTCAAGTCATCTTCTCTCTCGGTCACGGGCCAAACACCTGTGATTTAAAAAAAAGAAAAGGCATTTAATCATAAAGTAAAACTTTCTGTCTATAGTTTTTCTTTAAAGGCGTGTCTATACCATAAATAAAAACAGCCCCATAAACATACCCACAAGTTGAAAAAACTAATATATTACAGTATTAGAAGCTTGATGCTAATTCTTTACCTCTATAATACAGTTGAAAAAAACACACATTGTCTCCTTCTGCAAATATTAGCTAAGATGTGAGCCATTGACTGAGCAGCACTGGGAATTTCAATGGCCTCTCTTTAACTACTAGTGGAAGCCCACATTAGCACAGCCCTTTTGAAGGTAAGTTGGCTGTGACTATCAAAACATAAAATGTACATATCCTGTGACTTAACTCTACTCCCAAGAATGTATCTAATACCATGCCCAAGGAGGTCTCTAATGTTAGTAGTTACATTTTCAGAAATGAAAAGAATCTCAATATCGATATATCTATTAATAGGCTGTTACATAAATTATGGTACATCTGTATTATGCGATGTCCCACCCCTGTAAACAGGAGGGCTGTCCATCTTTACATACTGACATTTAAAACCTATTTATCTATTAAGTTTTCAAAAGCAAGAGGTAATACAATGTGTCTAATACGCACATATTTGTGTCAAAAGAATTACATAAACATGAATATTTTCTAGAAGAATACACTAATACTATTTTTTTGTATTTATTATACTTTAAGTTGTGGGGTACATGTGCAGATCGTGCAGGTTGGGTACATAGGTATACACGTCCCTCGTTAGTGGTTTGCTGCATCCATTGCCCCGTCACATACATTAGGTATTTCTCCTAATGCTATCCCTCCCCAATCTCCCTACCCCCTGCTATTCCTCCCCTAGCCCCCTAACCCCCAGGCCCCAGTGTGTGATGTTCCTCTCCCAGTGCCCATGTGTTCTCATTATTCAACACCCACTTGTGAGTGAGAACATGTGGTATTTAGTTTTCTGTCATTGTGTCAGTGTGCCAAGAATGATGGTTTCCAGTTTCATCCATGTCCCTGCAAAGGACATGAACTCATCCTTTTTTTATGGCTGCATAGTATTCCATGGTATAAACGTGCCACATTTTCTTTATCAAGCCTATCCTTGATGGGCATTTGGGTTGGTTCCAAGTCTTTGCTATTGTGAATAGTGCTGCAGTGAACATACATGTGCATGTGTCTTTATAAAAGAATGATCTATAATACTTTGGGTATATACTCAGTAATGGGATTGCTGGGTCAAATGGTATTTCTATTTCTAGATCCTTGAGGAATCGCCACATTGTCTTCCACAATGGTTAAATTAATTTAGACTCCCACCAACAGTGTAAAAGTGTTCCTATTTCTCTACATCCTCTCCAGCATCTGTTGTCTCCAGATTTTTTAATGATCGCCATTCTAACTGGCGTGAGGTGGTATCTCAGTGTGGTTTTGATTTGCACTTCTCTAATGACCAGTGATGATGAGCTTTTTTCATGTTTGTTGGCTGCATAAATGTCTTTGAAAAGTGTCTGTTCATATCCTTTGCCCACTTTTTGACGGGGTTGTTTGTTTTTTCTCGTAAATTTGTTTATGTTCTCTGTAGATTCTGGATATTAGCCGTTTGTCAGATGGGTAGATTGTAAAATGTTTTTCCCATTCTGTTGGTTGCCAGTTCACTCTACTGATAATTTATTTTGCTGTGCAGAAGCTCTTAAGTTTATTTAGATCCTGTTTGTCTATTTTGGCTTTTGCTGTCATTGTTTTTGATGTTTTAGTCATGAAGTTCTTGCCCATGTCTATGTCCTGAATGGTATTGCCTAGGTTTTCTTCCAGAGTTTTTATGGTGTTAGGCCTCATGTTTAAATCTTTAATCTATCTAGAGTTAATTTTTGTATAAGGTGTAAAGAAGGGATCCAGTTTCAGCTTTCTGCAGATGACTAGCCAGTTTTCCCAACACCATTTATTAAAGAGGGAATCCTTTCCCCATTGCTTGTTACAAAAACTCTTGATAAGAATTGCCTTTACAGAGTGGAACTAGGATCTTGGGTTGAACGAAGATTTGCCTTTCATTATTTATCCTATCAGGACTGGTTGAATTATTTTTATCATATACATGTTATTTTCATAATTTTATACATATTTATATTGCATAATGAGATACTTATTCATAGTATCAACCACAAAGATTTTTTAAATTTACAAGAAAAAACAAACAACCTCGTCAAAAAGTGGGCAAAGGATATGAACAGACACTTTTCAAAGACATTTATGCAGCCAACAAACATATGAGAAAAAGCTCATCATCACTGGTCACTAGAGAAATGCAAATCAAAACCACATTGAGATACCACCTCACGCCAGTTAGAATGGTGATCATTAAAAAATCTGGAGACAACAGATGCTGGAGAGGATGTGGAGAAATAGGAACACTTTTACATCGTTGGTGGGAGTGTAAATTAATTCATAATTTTAAATATACTCATATTGCATAATGAGATACTTATTCATAGTATCAACCACAAAGATTTTAAACAACAAACATTTTTAAATTACATATATGTCATTTATATATATGTAATATTACATATATATGCATAATATATCGAACTACTGGCTGCCTACTCAACATCTACTCTTCCCTCTTCCCTCTTTGTATTGGAGACTTAATTTTGTCGAGCACACCTTCGTCTCAGAGACAGTCACCCCTCCCAGGCACCAGGGTCAAATCCAGTCACAGTGATTTCCTTCCACTGACCATTTGCTGTTTTAGGAATGAATGTGGGACTTAATCCTGGCAGATGGAAGGTAAGGAAAGCTTGGAATGGAGAGAGCTGGCACATGCTTCTGGGAAAGCTATTCCTTCCTAATAAGAGGGAGACTTGGGAGAAACAGCCTGATGATTCTTCCCTGGAAATCATATCTGAACATAACACCTAGACTTGCTGAGATCACCCTGTGACCCTGAGAGGAAACATCTCCCACACTCTGAGGATGGCTGACTGAAAATACAGAAAGCACCTGGATGATGCCACATGAATCAGCTGTCTCACAAAAAAGGAAATGCCTACAACTGCTATCAGGCATTTCCACCAAACTGCATGATTTGGAATGGAAACTTCCATAACTCACTGAGAGTACAAATGGCTGTTCATTGCCCATCCCAATAACTGCTCTTTGATTCTTCTTTACTTAAAGCCCAATTTTATTCTAAGCAACAAAATACTCAACTAAATCACGCAATTTCCCAGCCAGTTTTGCAGCTTGGAGTGGCTAGTGAGACATGAGTAGGAGCCATTCAGGGTGTGGCTTCCAAGAAGCCTCCTTAACGGGGCTGACTCAGCAGCAGATGTGAGAGCAGGAGTTCCAAAAGCCATGCTGGACCAATATCTGACCCTGAGATAGAAGGAATCAGAGTCCCTGATGACTGTGGGACTGCCAAGCCAACCCTGGACTGCCCATCACTGGGCTTTTTTACAAGAGAAAGAAAGAAACCTCTATCTTATTTGGGTATTCTGTGACATGTAGCCAGACAGAATTTTAAGTGAACAGTGTCACAAAATACAAATGATCCTACTATTCAGTGATAACATCGGTGATAGAGTGCAGACTTCCATGTATACCCCTACCTCTTACTGCTCTCTGTCCCTTTCTGAAGACACAGAGGTATGGGCACCTATCTCAATGTTGTACCCAGTCCCCCATACTCATGCCTTGTAGACAACATGATCAACTACCTAAATCGTAAATAAAATTCCGTCTTTGAAAGTTCCTACCAGTAGATGTTGTTGACTACTGGTAACAAAAATACCAGGCAGGATTCACACTAATGAGTTGAGTATAAAAAGCTTCAGAATCTATGAGCCATGCAGAAATTATTACTATGATTTCATGCTTACAGCTTACATTCCCCTTATAACTTACACACATAAAATCAGCTTCAAAAACACTTTTATTACAGTAGATAATATACACCATGTGTACAACAAAATGTACTCTTTAAACTGGCTTTGGATTTTGCTGCAACTCTTCCTTTGAAAACACTTTTAAAAGCTTTAAGTACTGAACATAACCTGCAAGACTATGAACGTTTTTTATAAGTTGAAGCCCCCATACAAAAATAAGTGACATTTAAATGAATGATGGGGGTCATCACAAAGTTCAGCATTTTAAATTCTTCTAATAAAGAGAAGCTAAAACTGTAATAAAACAATTTTGTGCTCATGTAATTATAGATATTTTAATAAACAAACATACCATGGTTTTATAAGGGTATAAGACTAATTTTTTTTATATCTAGAAATAAAAAGTTTTAAATACCTCTCAGTTTAAAAAGTTTCCCTTTGTTTCTGTCTCAGAAATAAAACTAAATGACAATGGCATAGAAGGGGCAAGGAACTTCAAACATTAATTAAGAATTGAGGTTATGTAAATCATGCACTTTGCACCTAAGTCTGTGGGGGTATCCTTAATTTAATTAGCAGTTATTTCATGAAATACTGAAGGGATCAAGGTAATAACAAGTTAAATAGCCTAAACCTTCTCATCCAAGTTCATCACTATAACCACCAAGAAATAACTTTTAACTGTAAGGGATATTCTGAGAAATTTCACATTCAATTAATGTTAATCAAAATATCACTGGCACATTACCGTGGAAAGGGCACAATCTCAAGACAAAATTTGGAGTGAAAGCTTAATGAACCCTGCAAATTTCATGTTTCATGCCTATGCCACATTTCCCAATATTTTAATTTACAAAATGAGACTTATAATTCTATTAATCCCAAAAATGCTAGTATCAAAAATTGAAAAACAATTGTATACTGGGATATGACACATCCAATTTTAACCACTCTCTGTTTGACACGGCAGTGCTGACAACAAACAGGTTTCTAAGTAATCGGAGGTGCCCACAAGACCTGCGCTGCACTGGTTTACTTTCAAAACTTTCCAACGGAATGTGTGAAACCAAAGCATAACAGCTTTATTTTAATATTCATATTTTAAAAATATATTATCTCAGTTCCTCAGGACCGGAGGAATACAATGTTGGTAACACAGACTCAAAAGTACATAAATCTAGTAAAACGATGGGAGCAGGATTAAGACTGGCTCTGCTGTTTTGGTTGGCTTTTGATGCTCGGCTTCTTTTATTATTCCTGCTTGTTTTAACATTTCTTTTATGTGAAAATAGTCCATATTTTTTCTCATTAAAAAAATACTTTTACCTGACCCTGAAAAGCGAACCTAAACTAATGCTTTTCACATGTCCAACTCAAACTGCAAGACTGGTGTTTTGTTTCTCCTTTTAATTTACAAAAAAATTATACCCTTGTGAGTCCCAAAGTAAGATAATATTGAGTTATTCAAAACTCAGGAACTGAAAATATCATCAGCCTCTGAGTCATTAGAAACCAGCATACCACAAGCTACACACCATTTGGACGGTTAATTAACTACAAACATAAATTATGTCTCTAAGCTGCAAATGACTATATTTTTAGTAACAAAATGGTAGCTCATGTGCTTTGGTTTCTTTTGAAAGAAAACTAAAGTCATTTCAGGAATATCAGAAGGTAGTAAATGACCACTCTAAATTTTAATGCTCTTCTCAAGGCCTAAGACTACCACCCAAAGAGGTACTTCTTCCTTTCTTCGCATGTAAAGAAAAAAACTACATAGTGCTGTCCATGAAACATTAACAACAAAAACATTTTCTGAAATATGTTTTCAGAAGCCATAACATACAGAGTAAACATAAAGACCTTGTGTGCTAAAGAGCAATACTGGTTTTACAAATATGACTTTAATTAAGCCTAGAGGAAAAAATTAACAAAAACATAAAATAATATCTAAATACAAGATAACATGAATTTCACAATGAATAGTAAAATAGTAAAAAGCTGCAGATGAGATACCTTGTGATTTGTTAACATCTTTGATGATTTTCTGCAGCTCTTTCATTTCTACATCAAGTTCATCATAGTTCAGTTCTCGAGATTCAACGTTTGGAGCTTGGAACAGAGAAGGATCTGTCCCCAAGTATGAACACTGCAAGTGACCATCGTCACTCAGAGTGACTATCACTCCCTTTAAATCACTACAATAAGAAAGAGAAAATAAGACATAATTTTAAATTTCAGTAATTTAGTCTTGACCAACTACACATTTACTCAATTCAGCATCAACACACCATTAAGAAAATAACAATATATCTATTTCCAGAGTTTTACTTCAAAGACTCAGTTCAAATACTTCAAACATGATTCGTATTTATAGAAGTATTCCCAATGTTAAGATCAACTAAGGCAGGGAAGGAGCTTAATTATTATAATAGCTACCACTTTTGGGGACCTAACTACAAAGCAAATCCTGCTCCAAGAGCATTTTAAGTGCTGTTTTTAATCCTCACTCCAGCTACCACTTGGCATATCCATAATAAGCACATGAACAACATTTGTGCAGGGACAATGGAGCAAGAGACACAGCTGGGCTGCTGGTTGGCCTAAGACCAGGAATGAGGCACAGGAGTGAAGACGGGACAATCCATGGGACAGAACAGCAAACAAAGTTAATACAGGAAGCCATGGGAGGTCTCACCAAGAAAAGTGCCCCACCCCGATCTTTCCTCATCCTTTTCCCTCTCTCTATCCTTAAGATTCAAGTTTGCCCTCTCCCAGGCCCACCCATCGCAGCTTCCTTCACAGGCTCTCCTACTCAAGTGGCCCTCTAGTCTGTTCTCTCTTTCTCTTCACTTTTAGCTAGAAGCAGCCAATTGTCCCACTTACTAGCTCTTTCTTTATCACTCTTTTCATCCTAATTATCTCTTTCCCTCCCCATTCTTTCACTCTTCTTTCTCTCTTAGGCTCCTTGAGGTCTGTTTTACTCTAGAAACTAGCCGTAATCTATGAATTACAGGTGATTTCAGCATACCATTTTTTAGGTGTAAGTTTTTGTGAACATGTCATAAGAAGTTGCTGAGATGAATACTGTATCTTCCTCCTCCCTAAGTTTGCCAGAGAAACAAAAAAATTCGACATCGTCATAAGCCATTTTTGAGTTGACACATAATGGAATTGTTTGACTCACTTTTGTTTGTTATGTTTTCTACAGAAACTTTTGATTCTTTAAAGTATTTTTGACTCTATTCTAGAGGTTAGATATTAATCAAAAATAATAAATTGGGCACAGTAGCACATGCCTGTTCTCCCAGCTACTTGAGGAGGCAAAGAATCACTTAAGCCCAGGAGTTTGAGTCCCGCTTGGGCAACACAGCAAGACCTTGTCTCCAAAAGTAAACAAAAATAGAAAAATTGTGAGAAAAAAGATTTTAAAACGTTGCTATTCATCTGAAGAAGAGAAAAGGAATAAGCTGTATAACAGATGAAGCATGTAAGAGTCTAGGCTTATTCAGAATGTACAAAAATGTTTAAAACTCCCCAGCTGTGGATCGTGGCAGGTAGGTTTCCTTAATGTAAAAGCTTCACTGGGTTGGAAGTAGATACTACCATTGCTCAGTTCTGCCCATAAGATGGCCACCAGCATCCACTGCACCACCTGCCTGAAACACAACATTCCGATACACGTCTCCAGGGCTTAGGTATAGTCGGTGACGTGCAACCCTGTCATATGGCTTTGCAGGAGTAAAAACTAGATTGATATCACTGGTTCAACAGCTAAAGAACTAGACTAGGACTCAAAAGACTTGAGTTCTAGCTCTGATGCCACCCCTATGGAGCTGAGTCAACTTGGGGAACTTTTCCTAAATATTCTTTACCTGTAAAATGAGAAGGTAAGACTAGATAATCCTCAAAAGCTTCAAGTTTTATGAAGTGTTCTGCCATCTAACCCTCAGAAAACAAATACTCCCAAAATGGAATTATCTTCCTGAAGTGTGAAAAGCAACCTCAGAGTACCTTTGGGCTTGAACCTTTCTTTGCATGTAACTGAAGCCACCTAGTGGCCATGGAAATCCCAACTTTCAGTTCTGACAAGCCCATTACAAGAGCAAACCTTCCCTTCCCTCTGAGTTGTGACTATGGTCTGTTCCCCATTCTAGTCGGCTCCACTAAAGCCTAGAAACCCAGCGAGTCCTCAGGAAACTCTAGGATGCTTAAGCGCAGACCTCTGGGGAGCTTCTCAGAGAATGTGAGGTTCATGAGTACTTGGAATTCAAACAGGCATTTCCATTTCATCCTCATCCTTTGAACAATCCATCACGCAGAAAAGCCAGCATTCCCCAATACAAGCATTCCTCTCTATCTAAATGTATTTTGTCTTTGGGTTGAAAAGTTTATCACTAAGCAAACAGCAACAATTTATCTAAAAAATTATCTGAAACAATTAAGTTTCTGAGTTCAGATAGGAAGAGTTTGGATAATAGAGAATATGTATATTTCTTCTGACTCTCTAAAAACACTTTTTACTGATATTCCATGTGTCCAAATGGTAAAGAGAGTAGCCAGGGTTTTCCCTCACCAAAAGAACAAATTTCGCCAGACTGTCTTGACAGCTAAGGTAATTACAGAACTTAAGCAATTTACTTCTTAAAAAATCAATTGCAAAGGACATTATAGGCTGGGAAGCTGAGGCAGGTGGATCACTTTAGGTCAGAATTTCAAGAGGAGCCTGGCCAACATGATGAAACTCTGTCTCCACTAAAAATACAAAAATTAGCCCTGTGTGGTGGCAGGCACATGTAATCCCAGCTACTTGGGAAGCTGGGGCAGGAGAATCACTTAAACCCAGGAGGCAGAGTTTGCAGCGAGCCAAGATCACACCATTGCACTCCAGCCTGGACAACACAGCAAGACTCGGTCTCACACACACACACACAAAAAGACATTATAGATTATTTTGTTTCTTTTTATGGCTGAGTAGTGTTCCCTGATGATTAGTGATGCTGAGCACTTTGTTACATGTCTGTTGGCTGTTATATGTCTTCTTTTGAGAATTGTCTACTCGTGTCATTTGCAAAGATATGAAACCAACCTAAGTGCCCATCAATCAATGAATGGATAAAGAAAATTTGGTGTAAATACACCACAGAATACAACTCAGCCATAAAAAGGAATGAGATAATGTCCTTTGCAGCAACTTGAATAGAGCTGGAGGCCATTATTCTAAGTGAAGTAACTCAAGAATAGACAACCAAGTATTGTACGTTCTCAATGTGTAAGTGGGAGCTAAGCTATGAAGATGCAAAAGCATAAGAATGATGACATGGATTTTGGGGTCTGGCAGGAGGGGATGGTTGGGAGGGGGTGAGGGATAAAAGACTATATGCTGGGTACAGTATCTACTGCTCAGCTGACAGGTGCACAAAAAGCCCACCAAAAAACCTATCCATGTAACCAACAACCACCTGTATCCCAAAAACTATCCTTTTTAGATGAGATTCCTAGAGCAGTCAGATTTGCAGAAACCCAAGGTTGAATGGTGGTTTCCAGGGGCTGGGGTTGGGAGATACAGAGTTTTACTTAGGAAAGATAAAAAGTCCTGGAGATGGATGGTGGTAATGATTGCACAGCAATATGAATGTACCTAATGCCACAGAACTGTACATTTTAAAATGCTTGAAATGGTAAATTTTTATGTTATTTTACTACTATTTAAAAAAACACATAGCACAAAAAAAAGGGTGAATGAATACATTTCAAAAAGCTGTGTCAAGAATAATATAGTATGTAATTTGTTTACGGACATTAAAGCCTTCAATCTCTTTTAACTTTTAAAAAAATTCAATCGTTTTGGGGTACAGGTGGTTTTTGGTTATGGCTTCAGGTTTTAGATTTAAGTCTTTGATCCATTTTGAGCTTAATTTTGTATAAGGCAAGAGAAGGGGATCCAGTTCTATTCTTCTACATATGGCTTGCCGGTTTTCCCAGCCCCATCTATTGAATAGGGTTTCCTTTACCCAATTCATGTTTTTGTATGCTTTGTCAATGACCAGTCCACTGTAAATTTGGCTTTATTTCTGGGTTTTCTAAACTGTTCCATTGGTCTGTGTGCCTGTTTTTATACCATTACTATGCTGTTTGGGTGACTATAGCCTTGTAGTATAATTTGAAGTTGGATAATACGATGCCTTCAGATTTGCTCTTTCTGCTTAGTATGGGTTTGGCCATGCGGACTCTTTTTGGTTCCATAAGAATTTCAGGATTGTTTTTCTAGTTCGGTGAAGAATTATGATGGCATTTTGATAGGAATTGTGTTGAATCTGTAGACTGCTTCGGGCATTATGTTCATTTTCACAATATTGATCCTTCCCATTCTTGAGCATGGAATTTGTTTCCATTTGTTTGTGTCATCTATGGTTTCTTCCAGCATTGTTTTGCGGTTTTCCTTACAGAGCTCTTTCGCCTCCTCGGTTTAAGTATATGCCTATGTTTTTTGCGTTGGTGGTGGTGGTGGTTTTTTTTGGGGGGGGGGCCGGGTTGTGTGCATGTGTGTGGGGGGGGGTTGGGGGTTTTGTGGCTTTTTCTTTTTGCAGTTGTTATAAAAGGGACTGAGTTCTTCATTTGATTCTCATTTTTGTTGTTGTTAGTGTACAGCAGTGCTTCCGATCTGTATACACTGATTCATATCCTGAGACTTAATTTATTTAACAGATCTAAGAGCTTGTTGAATGAGTCTTTAGGGTTTTCTAGGCATACGATCGTATCATTGGCAAACAGAGACTATTTGACTTACTCTTCTCCAAGAGTACTTTGACTGACTCTTTTGGATGCCCTTCCTTTCCTTCTTTTATCTGATGCTCTGGCTAGGACTTCTAGTACTATGCTGAATAAACGTAATGAAAGTGGACATCCTTGTCTTGTTCCAGTTCTCAAGGGAAATGTTTTCAATTTTTCTCATTCAGCATGATGCTGGTTGTGGGTTTGTCATATACGGCTTTTATTACTTTGAGGTAAGTCCCTTTTATGCCTATTTTGTTGCGAGTTTTTATCATAAAGACATGCTGGATTTTATCAAATGCTTTTTCTGCATCTATTGAGATAACTATATGGGTTTGTTTTAAATTTGGTTTATGTGATATATCACATTTATTGACTTATATGTCAAGTCACCCCTGCATCCCTGGGATGAACCCCACTTGAC